AATAATCAAGATAGTTACCCACCGAATATGCCCACTCCCCAAGTCATGGTAGACGCCACGGTTAAGCGTGTGTCTAAGAACGTACGTGTTGGATACGGTATGGCAAAGGCAGTGTAGCTACAAAGAAAATGAGAACAAGGCTTGAAAGACAGAAGTTTATTACACTCAAAGGTCCCAGAGAGAGGGTCACTATATGCCATGCAGGGTCCCAGGGGAAAGCACTAGTGTGGATCAGGAGGCAAAAAAGAAGAGTGAGGGAAGAGGTTAGGCCATAGCCTGTGTTGGGGTTTCTGTGGGAAAGGCAAGGCAGGGCAGAGTAAACATTTAGGATTGGATAGTCTGAATAATTCTGGCGAGCTCTGGGGCACAGGGGTGGTCTCTAGTTGTCTGGTACCCGGTCCTGGGATGATCTAGGCAGGGGAAGTATCAGCTTGGTATATGAGAGTTAGATAAGAAGTGAGATATAATTGGGGTATGTACTCAGGATTGATTGGTTTGTATATGAAAAGCTTGCCCCTGGCCAAGCCCTTTATTATCCCTAAGAATTGGCGAGCCCTGGGAGACACGGTCTCTCCCTAGGTCTGTAAAGCCCCCGGACGCCAGAGAATGGAGAATACAAAAAATAAAACATATAGCTAATATTATTGGCCCTGTGATGAATGGATGCCAAATAGAAAAATACAGAGTCTGAGAAAATACAGTTGATACAGGGGTCCCTTTTGCATGGTCACCTCCTATAACTTTACTGCTGTAAAACTGAGCAACAGTCCAAGAAGCCTTATCGAATTTGCTTTCTCAGCTCTCTCTCATGGGTCTTAGAGATGCCAAGAAAAATGTTAGGTTAATGAACAGGAAAATGGGGAGAGGCAGAGAGGAGAGTCAGAGGATTCATCCCATCAAGGTGGATATTTTTAAATGGTTATTAAGAAATAAGGTGAATAAACGAAACCTTGATAAGAATGAAACAAAGAGGGGGAAAAAAGGGGGTGGGGAGAGCCAAGGGGACTCATTTCCAGGGTAAAATTCCCAGCAGAAACGGGATAAACCACAGACATTGATGGGGTTGAAACAAAGGTCATATTGCAGCATTACTGAAGGATGGGCAAACCAAAGGGGTCCCTTCCTGGTCACCCCACATTAAAGGGTACTGAACAGGTTCATTCTATTTACCGCAGTTTGCAAAAAAATTTAAAGTCAGAAGGTAAAGATTACAATGAGAAATTGAATCTGAAATTGCCTGGGACAATAGTCAGGCAGATTAATCATGGTAAAAATTGACAAAAGGGCAGGGTCCCTTGGCTCGACCCCTCACTAGAGACCCAAAAGCCTTCTGCACATGAGGGGGTAAAACGGTCAGAGGGTGGAGAAAAATAGTTTCTAGAACTCCCTGACAAGGAAGCCTCGTGTATTATGGTTTCAAAACTTGTTGGCAAAGCCCTAACAGGGGCTTCAGTGAGACTGGGAGAATATATGAATAGAAATGTACGAGCTGATAGGATTAAGATGGAGAGTTAGATGAAAATTGAAATGTTTAAACAGGCTGTCTGTGAAGAGGTTGTGTCTCCTTTACTTGAATGTTTTATGGGAATGGAGGTTATATCTGACTAGGGAACACCTCCTCTACCTGGTATTGTAAAACCAGAGCCTGTTGATGAATCCTAAGGGAGACTACAGTTAGAAATGTAAGAGTTGATGGGATTGAGGTGAAAGTTTGGAGGAAAATTGGCATGTCTGAAGTGGTTGTGTTTCTTTTACCCGAATGTATTCTGAAGATGGACCTCGTGTCTGTCTGGGGAATTGTTTCTATAGAACAGAAGGCATGAAAATCCGCCCTTCAAGCAATATTCATTAGACATGCTAAACAGGAATGAGTAAGATTGTCTGAGCCCACACAGTGAAGAAGAGAAGCTGGAGTGTGGTATGGGCAAATTCTCCGTGATAACTCTACGCGGGGTGTAGACTAGGGCTTAAGGCAAAGGCCTGTGAGTGCTTCTGACTAAAACTGGGGACCTTGGACTAGAGAATTTCCAATTAAGGGGAAATTACTAGCCTGCTATTAAACATTGAAGGACAAAAAATGATCTTAAAACCTAAAATACCAATGATATCTTGGGCGGGTCAGAGAAATGCTCCAATGGGGAAGGCAATGCCCAGAAGAGTTCTGTAATAAAACAGAAATGGTTTATGCTGGATCATCCCACCTGGGGAATACACAGATGAGATACTCGCAAGGATGGAGCCTCTTATCCCCTAGGACTGACTTTGGGACTGTGTGAGGAGCTGCTGGGTTCTATTATATCATCACTTGAATAGTACTCTATGAAGTAGCCTTTGACCAACAAACAGCTGCTTAGTTTGTGCATGGTAGTGCTAAGGTAAATAAATGGACAGCAACCTGTTTGGAAAACTACCACTGTTGTTGAAAAAGGTAAAAGCAAATCAGCTCAGAGGGCTGAATTATCTGCTGTTCTCCCAGCAATGATAGAAGAATTGAACAATGATCATGCCCTTATGTTTCAGTTTCTACTGAGTCATGGGTGATGGCCAATGGCAGGAATGGCAATGGAAACTTGACCCATTAAAGGGATTCCCATATGGGACACAGCCATGGAAATCACGATAGGAATCTGAGGTATGCATTAAAGTAGGACATGCAGATGCCCTGCAGAAGAATTTGCAGGTTCAGAAGGTGATTGGAACCAATGGGTGGCTATCACAGTGTGCTTGCTTCAAGTGGCTGCCTGGGTCTGTGAAATGAGTAGACAAGGCGGGGGATGCTGCAGTCATGCAGAGGAAGGGCTGAATTTGGACATATTCCTCTCGCACCCTCTTAGGCACAAAATGTCAACAAACCATCTGTCTGTCAACAAGAGAGACAGAGCCTGCAGATGGCTATGGGGAAGATTCCCGGGTGTGGGGTGGGGCAGAGGGGAGAGGCCCCATACATTGCTGTCAAGTGGATTGCATTGAGGAACCAATGAAATGCCCCAGGGGCTACAAATGGGTTTTGACAAGGAGAAACACTGACCCTGCACACGGCTTTGCTTACGTGGTGGGAGATGCAAATGGTCAGAGTAGCATGAAAGAACCACGACAGAAGATATTGCACCAATGCGGATGCCAAGTCGCATTTCTTCAGACCAAGGAACACTCTTTATTTACAGCCCATGTCAAACAATGGGCAGATATCCTCTTCAGATTAATAGTTCGATAGAGAATTGCAGTAGACAACTGAAACATTAGTTGTCTAAAACAGGGTGCAGCACAGACATGACTGGCTGGTTTACACATTTTCACCAGTGTGTGTTCACACTCAACATGAGCTAAGGGAGTGTCCACTAGGTAGATTCCTCTGTGTTTCTGGCTGATCTAGGGAGGAGGGACTCGGGGAGGATGCCGGTATGACTATACAATTCTTCCCAAGGAGGAGGACACTGCCATGAGGACCACCCTTCTTTTCCTTCTACACATCATGTCAACCTTCTCTTTCTTGCTAGATGCAGTGGTTGGAAAATAATGGAAATAAAAGAATACACAGAGACAAAGGTATAGTTTTATAGATTTATAAAGATTATAGGCAAAGCAGGAGCTCAGGGGGCCTAAATTTCTCTGTCAATCTCAAAAAGGCCACGAATGAAGTCTTACATGGTCATTTATAGGTAACAGTGATTAGTTGCCAGGGATAACAGATTTACATAACAGCAGGTAGTTCCTCTTAGGCTAACAGTTTTTCAAAAGGTTTCTACAGATCCCTTAACTAATTCTATCAATGTGAACAAATGGTTACAAAATCTTTCAAAGATCAAATTATAAATTATAAGGTAAATTTATCACTTAACAGAGGGGTTAAACAGAGATATACTGGCTCCATATTTTCTTTATCAGGTTATTGTGAATGGAGACAGGTAGTCCAGAGTTTTAAGCAGGAACTGCCCCTTGCTCTTAGCCATAGGCGGGCTGTTCAGGCGGCTGTCTGTTTGGGGCGGGCACTCTTTTATCACCTCTCATCCTGTAGTTTTTAAAAGATTCGCTTTGCTTTACAAAGCAAATCCAAACCTTTAGGTCTGAGAAACGCGGCGCCTTGTGGGATATAGCTGCTACTGTCTTTCAGAGACGCCCTCCTGAGGTGCAACAGCATTTGATATGCAAACCAACACGTTCACATATTCCTTCAGGGCAAAGCTCTGAAAAACACCTGAGACATATCCTGTCTCCAATATATTTATATTAATTCATGGAGCAACAGTTCGGTACCTATGTAACCCTATCCTATATATTATGGGAGTGGACTGAGGAAGAGTTACTTGCTAGATTAGTATTGCTGCTTGCAATCTTGACCAGCACAGTGGCCAAACCTAATGTTCCTTGCAAAGTTTGGTATAAATAGAGAGAAGGAGGAATAGTAGCTGAGAGTAAAGGAATAAATAAATGGGTTATATAACAAGTCCTGTGAGTCATCCTAGCAAATTATTGACCTGAGGGGGGGTTGTGGGAACCCCTGACTTTGTAGCCAAGTCAGACAGAAGTGCAGGTAACCTGGGTACCTGGTAACCTTGAGACTGGTATCTGAACTGGGAGCAGTATTGTGCAACTGAGCCCCTCACCTGTGGAGTCTGCCCTAACACTGGGAGTTAGTATCAGAATTGAATTGAATTGAATTGTTGGACACCTAGTGATTGTCTGGACAATAGAAAACACCCCAGAAAAACTTCTATGATAAACATGTATTACTTTTATAATGTAAAAGAGTAAAATAAACATTATTTTTTAAACAAAGTTAATATAACTTCAACGCTAAATAATCAGCTTAAATTGTCAAAATTTGCTGATATCCTGTAACTATTAAATGCAAATATTTGTGAAATGAACAAAACTTAATCACTCCTAACTAAACCCAAATCCACAAATGCAAGTTTTCTTTGGATAGCAGATTTCTTCTTCATTCTTAGCCTTAACCGTATCTGTAACCATCACTGCCTAGTCCACACACTATGGCTCACCTCCTATGTCTTCATCTTCATTGGTTGGGCCTTCTGTGCTGTCCATATTTTCTATTTCATGAGGTTTGGTTAAATTGTAGTCATTCAAAACTGTTGGACTTTCTAAAAGACAAAAAGAGTTTTAAGTATGCAACCAAGTTTTTTTTGTTTTGTTTTTGTTTTTTAAGACAGAGTCTTGCTCTGTTGCCCGGGCTAGAGTGCTGTGGCATCAGCCTAGCTCACAGCAACCTCAAACTCCTGGGCTCAAGCGATCCTCCTGCCTCAGCCTCTCCAGTAGCTGGGACTACAGGCGCGTGCCATCATGCTTGGCTAATTTTTTCTATTTTCAGTTGCCCAGCTAATTTTTTTTTTCTATTTTTGGTAGAGACGGGGTCTCGCCTCTTGCTCAGGCTGGTCTTGAACTCCTGAGCTCAAGGGATCCTCCCGCCTCGGCCTCCCAGAGTGCTAGGATTACAGGTATGAGCCACCACACCCAGCCTGCAATCAACTTTAAAGGATTTTTATAAATATGTATTAAGTAGACCCCCATTTAATTTTCAGCCTCACATAACCCTTTAGTGACAGACAGTATCCCCCTTCACATATACCCAAAAGGTATATATATAAAAACTCTTGAAGTTTAGAAATATGCCCAGGGTTCACACACCCTTCCATTATATACAACTTTCTTAAATAAAACTCTCACCTGAGTTATAATAATAAAATGCACTCATGTTCCTTCTGGACAAAATTTCCCTCTCCATTAGTATACTCATGATATTCAGCAGGATTGCATTGCTATTGATGACCAAGAACTATTAATATGTAACAATGAGAAATATTGAGCCCAAAATGCTGGCATGACCAAATTTGGGAAAGATGCTCTCCTTAGAGGAAGGCTGTAAGCTTCTGTATGCCAAATTCTATTTTCCCCTTCTGTTCACATTATAAATGGGATTCTGTGGAAAACATATTGGACCCTAAGTCACTTTGTTTCTTTGAACATTTACTAAATGCTGACAAGGCTACAGATATGAATAAGTCATTATTATGCCTGTCCTCAAGGAGCCCAGACTTTGCAGATATACTTAAGAGAAGGCCACAGTTATAATGTAAGGTAGACTCAGACAAGGGCTTAAAAGAAATACAAAGTGTTAAGGGAGCTTATAAGTGAAAGTGTGCACATATAATAAAAGCATGCTTAAATAAACAGCAAAGTTGTTAAAAATCAAGTTTAAGGAAAATAAAATTTTGTATAATAAATACTGATAATACTGGAAGTAAGAAAAAAAGGAACAATGTAGCTGGAATTATTCTCACATATAAGTTTAGCAGCTTAACAAAAAATGATAGCAGAAGAAATGAACTGAAAATTCACCCATTTTCTATCTAATTCCTTCCCAGTATTCAACAGAATATTTACTGAGTACTTATTAATGCAACAAATATTCAAAGGCACTGAATCCTGGAGCATTTAAGCAGGGCTAAAGTAGGGAGTGACTAGGAACCTTGCAGTGACATTCCTTTCAGCAGCAGCCATGACTGTACACATGCAACAGGACATTTGCTGGAAGGCAGGACTGAAATGGAAGCACGTTTCATAAAATCCATCACTAAGAGGCCTTGTAAATGTGGTCACTAGGGACCCATTTTTTGATTTATGAATATCTAAAGTTTCTAATTTCTGCATATTATAATGCATATACTATGAACTCTAAGATACTGATCTAAACAGTGGTCCACTTTTCTCAAGCCTGAAATGACTAAAATATAGTGCACACTTGAACAATTAATATGAGGTTCAAATTCAATTAAAATATGAGGTTACAACTCACAGTAACACAAAAAGGCACTTAAGTGATAAATTTTATAATATAAGTTTTGATTCAAACAAAGTGAGTTAATGAGAAAATATAAAAGTAATTTTTAGGAAATAAAATTATTTTAAATGTTTACTGTATATTCTAGAGCATGAGTAAGCAAACTATGGCCTGAGGGCCAAGTCTGACCATAGCCTCTTTCTGTATGGGCCCAGAGGTAGAAATAGTTTTAAAATTTTTAAAGGGTTATAAAAAATACAAGGAAGAACATGCAACAGAGACCATATGTGGCCTGCAAAATCTAAAATATTTACTAGTTGGCTCTTTACAAAAAAGTTTGCTGACCACTTTTCTAGAGCAAACAGCACAAGTCATTCAAATACAAGCTACTCTATTATTTGACAAAAACTGTCTTTATCCAAACCAATCAGTTTAAAAATTAAAAAAAGAAAAAAACCCAGTGATCAACATTAGGTAGAATATAGTTTGGCCCTATGATGCTAAAGAATTTACATGATCTAAAATGGGCAAGTATTTTTTTTAATCGGCAAGAGACAACCACATTTTAAAGAAACACATTTCCATAGCATTTTTAATACAATCAGAATAAGCATGTTCCTTTTTTTTTGGTATTTTTAGTAAAGGGATATTTATAGAGAGGAAAGACCTCATGTTACCTGTGGGCACAGACTGCTCCTGAGTGCTTTTCAGGTCTACATTTGGTTGTATATCTGAAAAGAAAGAGGTTATAAATATTAGCTATTTTGGGTACATTTCTACAGATTTGAGCATTCCAAATTTAATAAGGATATCATTTTGGAAAACTTAGCAGAATTCCTCTTTCAGAGCAGGACCAATCTTCCCCTATAACTCTTTCTAAAAGTGGCTCAAGGAGGATGAAAGAAATTATTGATGCAGCAATGCTACTCTAAGAACATTCTGTCAGAGATCTATTAATACCTATACCATGAACAACAAGCAAAAAGTGGGTCCCATTAGAATTTCAGATACCATTTATTCTTCCCCCCAATATTTTATTGTGAACATTTTCAAACATATAGGAAGAACAGTTAAAAGAACTGCACAGTGAACACCCAATACCCACCAATCAGATTCTACAATTAACATTTTGCATTTTTGCCTTATCATATACCTTTCCTATCTATTAATCATTCAATCTGTCCATCGATCCATCTGAATTTTTTGACGCATTTCAAAATAAGTTGCAGAGAACAGTGTACTTCACTCCTAACACTTCCACATGCATATTATTAACTAGAATTCAATATTTGTTTATAAGATTTTTTAAGGTAAAATTTACATATAGTGAAAGCACAGATCTTAAGTGTACCATTCACGAGTTTTAAAAAATGCACATCCTTGCGTAATGCAAACCCCTATCAAGATACAGAACATCACCATGATCCCAGAAAAGTTCCCTCCTGTCTCTTCCTAGTCAAGCCCCACCTACATACTCCAGAGACAACCACTATTTTGATTTCTTTCCACCACAGACGAGTTTAGTCTATTTTAGAACTTTATAAAAATGGAATCATATATGGTATAAACTCTTTTGCCAGAGGCTTCTTTCACTCAGCGTAATGTTTTGAGATACATCCATTCTGTGGTGTTTATCAGTTGTTCATTCTTTTTTATTGCTTAGTAGTATTCCATCATGTGACTATCCCAGTTTATCCATTCTTCTATTGATGGACACCTAGACTGTTTCCAGTTTGGACTATTATGAATAAAGCTACGATGATATTTCTTTTTTAATAATAAACTTTTAAATTTTAGAATAGTTTTAAATTTACAGAAAAATTGCAAAGCTAATACAGAGTTCCCATACACCCCACACCCAATTTACCCTATTATTAACACATGAGTATGGCACATTTGTTATAATTAATGAACAAATATTGATATATTATTACTAAGTATTCAGATTTCCTTAGTTTTCGTCTAATGTCCTTTTTTTGTTCCAGGACGCCATCCAGGATCTCCCATTATATTTAGCAACCATGTCCCCTTAGGCTTCTCTGGGTTGGGATAGTTTCTCAGACTTTCCTTGTTTTGATGACCTTGACAGTTTTGAGGAGTGCTGGTCAGGTTTCTCTCCCTCAATTGGGATTTGTTTTTCCCATGATTAGATGGGGGTATGATCATCCTTGTTCAAGTCTTTTGCTCATTTTTATTAGTTTGTATTTTTATTGTTTTAGGAGTTCTTTATAGATTACCAATATTGATCCTTTGTCAGATATATATTTTGGTAATATCTTCTTCTAGTCTGTGACTTGCTTCTTCGTTTTCTTTATTTAATAGTGTCTTGATATCCAGAAGTTTTAAATTTTGAAGTTTACTGTATCAATTTTTAAATGGATATTCCTTTGTTTCTTATTTAAGAAAACTTTATCACCCCCAATTTGTGACAATATTCACTCGTTTTCTTCTATAAGTTTCACAGTTTTGGCTTTCGTGTTTCACTCTATGATCCATATTGAGTAAATTTTCTTCTTCTAAGTGTGAGGTGGAATTTGAGCTTCATTATTTTCCATATGGATATGCAGTTGTTCCAGCATCATTTGTTGAAAAGACTTTTCTTTCTCCATTGGATTGCTTCGGTGCCTTTGTCAAAAATCAAACGACTTTAAGAGTACAGGTTTATTTTTCAGTTCTTTATTCTGCTCCAGTGCTATACTGTCTATCATTACACCATAATGTCTTGATGCTGTATAGGAAAGCTGTGAAGTCAGGTAGTATACACCCTCAACTTTGTTCTCCTTTTTAATGTCTCTTTGGCTGCTTTAGATCCTTTGCATTCTCATATAAATTTTAGAATAAGACTGTTTATTTATTTTTTAAAACCCCAGAAGGATTATGATTAGAATTGTATTGATCAGTTTGAGTTTTAACAATGAGTTTTTCAATCCATGAGCACGATACTTCTCTCCACTTATTTAGGTCTTCTTCAATTTCCCTTAGCAATGTTTTGTAGTTTTGATATACAGGTCTTACATGTTTTTTGTTAAATTTATTTCTAAATATTATATGTTTTATGATGCTATTACAAGTGAAATTTAAATATTTTAATTGTTTACAGCTAGTATATAAAGATGTAATTGATTTTTGCATATTGACCTTGTATATTGAGATCTTACTAGATTGCCTTATTAATTTTAGTAGTTGTTTTTTGGTATATTCCTTAGGATTTTCAATGTAAGTAATCATGTCATCTGCAAAATGAGATGATTTCATGTCTTCCTTTCCAATCTTTATGCCTTTGATTTCTTCTCTTGCTTTATTGCATAGCTGGAATTGCTAGTACAATGGAACAGAAGGGATGACAGTGTACATCCTTGCCTTGTTCCCAATCTTAGAAGGATATTTTACCATAAATTATGATTTTTAACTATAGGTTTTCCATAGAGCCCAAGAAGTTTCTTTCTATTACAAATTTGCTAACAGCTTTTTGTTTGTTTGTTTGTTTTGAGACAGGGTCTCGCTCTGTTGCCCAAGCTAGAGTGCAGTGGTGTCATTATAGCTCACTGCAACCTCAAACTTCTGGGTTCAAGTGATCCTCCTACTTCAGCCTCCCAAGTAGCTGGGATTACAGGTACATGCCACCATGCCTGGCTAATTTTTCTATTTTTTTGTAGAGCTGGTGTCTTGCTCTTGCTCAGGCTGGTCTCAAACTCTTGGCCTCCCAAAGTGCCAGGTTGCTATGAGTTTTTGAAATCATAAATGAATATAGAACTTTTTCAAATATTTTTTCTGCATCTATTGAAATTATGTATTTTTTCCTCATTTATTCTATTAATTTGGTGAATTACATTAATTCGACTCCTGAGATAAACCTCTGCTTGGTTATACCATATTTTCTCTTTTATGTATTGCTGGATCCAATTATCAATAGTTTATTAAGGATTTTTAAAATATTTTTTATTTTATCTGCCTAGTTTATTAAGGATTTATGCATCTACGCGCATGAGTAATTTGGGCCTATAATTTTCTCTCTCTTTAATGTCTTCATTAGGTTTTGGTATCAGAGTTTGGTAGCATTCCTTTCCCCTTTATTTTCCGAAAGAGTTAGGTGAGATTAATTTCATTTTCTATGTTTGATACAATTCACCTGTGATACCCTTTGGGCCTGGAGTTTTCTTTTTTCTTTTTTTTTTTAATTAATTAATTTTTTTTTTTTTTTTTGAGACAGGGTCTCACTCTTTTGCCTAGGCTAGAGTGCCATGGTGTCAGCCTAGCTCACAGCAACCTCAAACTCCTGGGCTCAAGTGATCCTTCTGCCTCAGCCTCCCGAGTAGCTGGGACTACAGGCATGTGCCATCATGCCCGGCTAATTTTTTCTATATACTTTTAGTTGTCCGATTAATTTCTTTCTATTTTTAGTAGAGATAGGGTCTCGCTCTTGCTCAGGCTGGTCTCGAACTCCTGAGCTCAAATGATCCGCCTGCCTCGGCCTCCCAGAGTGCTAGGATTACAGGCCTGAGCCACCATGCCAGGCCCTGGAGTTTTCTTTTGATAATAATTTAAATTTCTTTACTAGATCTAAGCTCATTCCAATTTTTAAAAAATTTGATTTTTTATTAGTTTTGGCAAGTTGTATTTTTCAAAGAATTTGTCCGTTTTAAGTTGTCAAATTTATTGGCATCAAATTGTTTGTAACATTTTCTTGTTATTCTCTTAATATCTGTAGGATCTATAGTCATATTTTCTTTTCATTGTTGATATTGCTAATTTGTATTCTCTTTTTCTTAGATATCTGTTTTTTTTTTTTTTTTTTTGAGACAGGGTCTCACTCTTTTGCCTAGGCTAGAGTGCCATGGTGTCAGCCTAGCTCACAGCAACCTCAAACTCCCAGGCTCAAGCAATCCTTCTGCCTCAGCCTCCCGAGTAGCTGGGACTACAGGCATGTGCCACCATACCCGACTAATTTTTTTTTCTATATATTTTTAGTTGTCCAATTAATTTCTTTCTAATTTTAGTAGAGACGGGGTCTCGCTCTTACTTAGGCTGGTCTCGAACTCCTGAGCTCAAACAATCCACCCGCCTCGACCTCCCAGAGTGCTAGGATTACAGGTGTGAGCCACCACACCTGGCCTAGATATCTGTTTTTTTAAAAAATATTTTCAAAGAACTGATTTCTGGCTTGCATAATTTTTTCTATTGTTTGTCAGTTTTCAATATTATTGATTTCTTCTGTGTATTATTTTCTTCCTTCTATTTACTTTGGACTTAATTTACTCTTTTTCTGGCCTCTTAGGTGAAACTTTAGTGACTGATTTTGCTCTTCTTTTCTATAATAATTATAAGCATTTAAAGCTATAAGTGTTCCACTAAGCATGCTTTAACTGTACCTCATAAATTTTGATGTTTCATTTTCATTAAAATTCAGTTCTAATTTCCCTTGTGACTTCTTTGATTTACTGGTTATTTATGTTTTTAATTTCCAGATACTTGGGGAAATGAGCAGATTATCTAGTTAACTTATTGTTATTGATTTTTAATTCCATTCCACTATAGTCAGAGAATACAGTTTGTGATTTCAGTCCTTTTAAATTTATTAAGACCTGTTTTCTTGGTGAATGTTCAGTGAGTGCATAGTTGATAAGTATGTATATTCTGCAGTTGTTGGGTGTACTCTTTTATACATGTCAATTAGATCAAGGTAGCTGACAATGTTGTTGAGATCTATGGCTTTACTAATTTTTGGCTAGTT